GTGGAAGGTGTCAAAGCAGTTTGGAGAGAAAAACAAAGTAAAGAACAAAAAAAAGAAGAAAAGAAAACGATTAATCGATTATTAAATTAGTCATCGATTATTTTAATAATCGATTAGTCGTCGATTAATCAGCTAATCGTGGCAGCCCTAATTCAGCCACTATTTCTTCTCTCTCCTGCCTAGAACTTCCATGTCTGAGATCAGAGACATATTAGATGATTGCCAGAGATATTTACAACAATAAACTGTTTAAACCTTTCTTGGCATATGGTTGCATTTTAGAACTCAGCCTCTGGGTCCTAACACCGACAACATAACTCCTAGGATCAATGGGACACTCAAACCTCTCCACCACAATAAGGTGGCAGCCCAGGGAGAGGCCCAGTGTACGAGTTTAAGTATCTCGGGGTCTTGTTCAAGAATGAAGGAAGAATGGAGCGGGAGATCAACAGGAGGATTGGTGCTGTGTCTGCAGTGATGCGGGCGCTGTAGTGATCTGTCGTGGTGAAGCGAGAGCTGAGCCAGAAGGTGAAGCTTTCGTTCCTATCCTCATCTATGGTCACAAGCTTTGGGTAGTGACCAAAAGAACAAGATCACCGATAGACACAACCGAAATAAGTTTCCTCTGCAGGGTGTCTGGGCTCTCTCTTAGAGATAGGCTGAGAAGCTCAGTCATCCAGGAGGGACTCAGAGTAGAGCCGCTGCTCCTCCACGTTGAGAGGAGCCAGTTGAGGTGGTTCATCTGGTTAGGATGCCTCCTGGACGCCTCCCTGGTGAGGTGTTCTGGGCACATCCCACTGGGAGGAGGCCCAGAGGAAGACCCAGAACACGCTGGAGGGACTATGTTTCTCCGCTGGCCTGGAAACACCTTGGGATTCCCCCGGACGAGCTGGTCCAAGTGGCTGGGGAGAGGGAAGTCTGGATCTATCTGCTTAGGCTGCTGCCCCCGCGACCTGACCCCTGATAAGAGAAAGAAAACAGATGGACGAACGGATAGAACATACAATGAAGCCACTTCATTTTTATTTAAATTGCATTGTCAGGTTGTATAAAATGGAGGCAGAAGATGTCAGATTTGTTTGTAATGATTTTTCAGACATGAAGATGGAATCAACAACCTAAACTTTGTGGTGCTGTTGATGTTGAATTCTGCTGCTGGTCACAGSTTGAACTGAGGAATCTACACAGGAGCTGGTGATTTGTGCTTGTTTGGAGCCAATCAGTTTCCAGGAAGCACACAGAACCAATCATTTAAAGAGAGCGTTTCATAATCTGTGCTTTCTGGTCCACTTTCTGGTCCCACRGTCAAAATAAAAGAATTTATGGCATGGCCAACAAAATGAAATGTCCTGATTTTTTAAGGAGTGATTACTTTATTTTTCCATCCTCTGTCCAGGCCACCCTTTCAAACAAGCTGTAGTTGTTCAGTCTTAACGTCTCACCTGATAAGTGAAGTCTGTTAGTGAAAACACATAAAAATAAAAACATTTACAAAACCTGATTCAAAAGAGAGTCTAGAGTTTTGAAGAAATGAGCCATTAAATGCTGCTGAAAGCCAAACAAATTAAATGTATGTTAAAGGGGCAGACTTCACTGATACTGTGGGACTAAAAGGGGCTACAGTTAGGAATCCTGTCCCAGACTGGCTTCAGTTCTGATGTTTGTCCCTGTTTTCAGTGGGAGCCTGTGCAGATGAGATGACATGATGCTGTTCATCAGTCCTGTTTTTAATGGATCTGTTTCAGCTTTTTTCTTTTTCTTAAGATGGAGGGAAACAGAGTGTTGTGTCTTTAGAAGGCTTTGAGGATATTAAGTACAACCATACTGTAGACCACACCACTTACAGGGTCACACACTTTGCATTTTAACAGATGGTCACCACAAAACCATAACAGATACAACATGTTCACAACCCAGTGTAAACATGTTACACACACAAACACACCTTCCATGAGTTAAACAGTATAAACTGAGAGTTTCATTTTCAACAATATTAATCCTGAGTTCCACTCATACAGGAAGAACTGGGGTCTCTGTTGGGGTCTGTGTGTGCTGGGAGGTTTACAGAGAGTGTGCGGGTCATGGCTGTGCACAAACACAGAGAGAGGACTGACTGTGTCTGGGTGGAGCCGCGTGCTCTGCCACACATCTGTTTGTGGTTTGTGTACGAGGCAGACCTCTGCTGTACCAAGCAGCAGCAGAGACACGAGACCTGCACATTCATGTGTGTGTGTGTGTGTGTGTGTGTGTGTGTGTGTGTGTGTGTGTGTGTGTGTGNCTCTAGAAGCAGGCAAGAGTCGTCTGCTGTCTGCCATATTTAATTTCATGCCGCAGTTTTGAGCAGGACTGTTGTCTTCTTGTGTGGTCCTCAGCCAGAGATAAATCTGAAACAACAACCAGATCAAACAGGACCTTATCTGGTGGTCTGAACTGATGCTAATATTTTATTTCAGAGTATTTTTCTAACACTGCCAGTGATTTAACCTTAATGTTGTCCAGCCTTAGTTTTCTCTCTTCTTCTCTTTGTTCTGGATCTTAGCTTTTAGCATGTAGCTCAGTTTCTCCTCTGACCTTGTTACAGGCTGAAGAAGAGTTTCGGGATAAACTCTCACCCATCTACATTAGCTTGAACTTCAGTCTGGACCCTCAGGCCCCACCAGACCAACATGGCCTCCGCCCCATCCTGAGCCACCARACAGAACAACGTGTGCAGCAGAAGGTACGAACAGTAGCAATCATGAACAACMAGTGGATCCAGCTTCTTTTTCCTCTGCTGGCTCGTAGTTTAAAGATGATCACAGTCTAAGAGTGGAGTGTGTGATGTTATCCTTCTGTCAGATCWGAATATTTCTCACAGGATGAGCTGTGGTCATCTGATGAGGAGTCAGATAACCAACGCTCACATGGCAGCTCTTCATGCTGTGATTTATRTTGTCTACCTGACAGTCCACAACCCTGAAGCAGATGATGTGTGGCTCAGTTCTGAAATTGTTGTTGGATTAAAGCTGACAGAATTATTATCACGTCTACAGACAGAACTGCAGTCCTGGMGCAGGAGCAACATAGTGAAAGTAGAAWCAACGTAAAGTGTGGCTTTCAGCAYGTTTGTATCATGATCCAATAGTGTTGGGATCATATGTTGCTGCAGATTCTCAGCCAACCAGGGCAGGACAAATCTAAAAAGTAAAACATAAAAACCTGTGTTCAGTAGTTGGAGAGGTTTTGCTTCTCATCTGAGAAGCTTAATCAGCTCTACCCAGGAGATGTCTGGGGTCAGATTTATTCAATTCAGTTCAATTCAGTTTATTTATATAGCGCCAAGTCACAACATACGTTGTCTCAGGGCACTGTACATGAAAAAAGAACAATCTAAAAAAGAAACCAGCAGATTGTGTTGAATCACTTCATCACAGTCTCCCGTCCTGMGCAAACAGTGGAGAGGAAAAACTCCCTGCTAATCAGGAAGAAACCTCCAGCAGAACCAGGCTCAGGACAGG